TGAGTGGTAGTGTTGTTGAAGTGTTTGCTTTAGATGGTATTGCTAACAAGACAGTTGTTCACTATGAAGTGTATCTTGATTAAGATGAGTTGATGAAGGAGAGGCAGCCTCTGTTTATATAACCATTTGGCTGAATGGTCATATGACAGATGTACTGGATTGTCTCTTTAGTTTGGCTCCCATTTAAGGTGTCTGTCGCTTCCACTAAAGAGCCTCGGTGACTATTGCGTGTATATTACTCAAATCGTCATTGGTTCTTCATCAACATCTGAGACAGATCATTTCATCAGATTCTTACACAATCTTCCATCTATTTTTTAGCAGATCTCGGCATTTCATATAGACTTATTTTATGCCTTTGTCATTTGTAGCCTTCTTATCTTTTCATTTCTTCGCGCTTCATTCCGCGATAGTATCGTGACTGAAAAAGGAAATTTTCCAGTGTTCCAAATTCTGGTGACAGTACAAAGGGGTAATACTACTACATGTGAAGATTTTGTCACACAAAAGGAAATATTAATTAATGAAATTGAAATGTGCCCCGCCTCGCACAATTCTGTGATAGCCAACCATTTCAGTGCTACCTCCGAAGAATGTTAAATAGTTACAATTGGTTGGCTAATTATAATTTATGAATAAATTCTGCTAAAATTCTAAGCGTAACACATCAATTCCACTTCTCAGCCAGCTTCGATCCGCCAACTGGAACATATCGTATGCCATCAGGTAACGATAGTCGCAAGAAAAGTTCTTGACCTGAGAATAATCCGTATCTCTCCCTAAATTTCTATACGGACATTACCACTCCTATCCTTGTAGCGATTAAGTCGAGTCCCCGTTACCGAAAGGTATGGTGTACCTCCGAGCGTTTCGAGTTTGTAAGTATTGTATTTGCCGATTGATTTAATTCTATAAGGTCCAGTTGCCGTAGTTTCAAGTTTCGATTTCTTTGGTCCGTAGAGGAGTACCAGCTCTCCTACTTTAAATTCCTCTTTCTTTTCGATGCTGTGGTCATACCGTTTTTTCATTTTCTGTTGTTTTGCCTTTATACGTTCGGATGCCTGTATCTGATTTTGTTCGATCGATTCTAACTGAGCAATTCTTGTTTTTATCATTTTCTCCCAATCTTCCGTTTCTCTTGTTTCATAGTCTGTTTCGATTGGTAAGCGCATTTGTCTTCCGAATAGCAATTGCGATGGTGAGTAGCCAGTGGTGTCTTGTTTGGATACTCTATAGTCCATGAGTACCAATTGGAGTATATCGGGCCATAATTCTTTTTTTGCACCTAGGGTGCGGCATAAGGATTTGAGTATAGTTTGATTCATTCTTTCAACTTGACCATTTGCTTGTGGATTCGCCGCTGATGTAGTAATATGTTTGATCTTCCATAGTTCCATCATTGATCTCCATCGATGTCTAGTGAAAGCGGCGCCTTGGTCAGTGATAATCTGTCAAGGGCTTCCATAGACAGATATTATCCTATCCCGTACAAAATTAAGTGCTTCTTCGGTATTAGTCGTTTTTACCGCTTCTGCTATAGGCCATTTCGTTAGATAGTCTTGGGCAACAATGATATACTCATAACCTTTCTTTGATTTTGTTAAGGGTCCAACATGGTCTATTCCCACAATATCGAATGGTCCTGATACTGCTATCGGATTCAGTGGGTTTTTGTGCTTGGGTTTGGTATCGCGCTGGCATGAATCGCAGGACTCGATGTAGTCGGAAATATGCTTCAGCATATCCGGCCACCAATAGAGTTCTTTGATTTTAGCCATTGTCCGCCGTTTCCCACTGTGTGCCAGATTGTGTACTTCGGCTATTATCTTTTTATGCTCAGGTTGCTTAATTACTCGTTTCCATTTGTCGTGTTTAATGAAAAGGTTGTTGTTTGTCAATTTATAGGCCGTTGACCGTTTTGATCCAATATTCCGTTTTAATTTCTCGTATTCTTCTGGGTCCATGATTCTTTTCCTCTTTTCTTTAGGTCCTCTTGAGGTAGTTTGGATTTCTGGAGAGGGCATCCGCTACTGGATTCTTTTTACCCTCTCGGTGTTCGATTTCAAAATCATATTCTTGGAGAATCATTACCCATCTTGCAATTCGAGAATTCTTTGGAGTTGTATGTTGGATCATTGGAATAACTGATAAGCTGTCTGTTATTACTTTAAAATGTCAGCCATGGAGATATCTTCGACATTTCTTATGAATAGCCCAGGTCACTGCCATTCCTTCCTTTTCGTTCACGTGATATCGTTGTTCAGTCGGATTAAGCTTTTTGCTGATATAGGCAATAACGTAATCGGTTCCAGCATGGTCTTGAGACAATACTGCTCCTAAGGCAAAATCTGAGGCATCGGTCATTAGGGTAAACATTCCAATTTTGTTCGGCAATACCAAAATTGGAGATTTGATAAGACATCGTTTGAGTGTTTCGAATGCGTCCTGGCATTCGTCAGTCCATAGAAACTTGATTTTCTTCTTTAATAAATCGGTAATCGGCTTTGTCAACTCGGAATAGTCTTGAATAAATTGTCGATAAAATCCCGTCATTCCTAAGAATGATTGAATTTCCTTGGTATCCACTGGGGCTGGGTAATCCTTAATCGCTTCGATCTTCCTATCATCAGGCGCCAGGCCTTCTTTTCCAATCACGTGCCCTAAAAATTCCAATTCCTCACAAGCAAACTTGCATTTTTCCCTTTTTAATTTCAGTCCATATTTCTTGGCTTTTTCTAAAACGCCTCTGAGGTGAGTCAGGTGTTGATCGAAATCTGTCGAATATATATTTATATCGTCGATATAAACGGCTAAATGGTCGCCTATTTCTTTCGCAAATATCATTTCCATCATGCTTTGAAATGATACTGGGGCGTTTTTTAGACCAAAAGGTAAGCGATTGTAATAAAATAATCCTTTATGGCAAGAGAATGCTGTTTTAAGTTTGCTTTCCTCCTCCATTTCAACTTGCCAATATCCGCTCGCTAAATCTAGAGCCGAAAATATTTGTGGTTGCTTCCCACTTTTCGCTATGTCAGCGATGACATCTTCCATTACCGGGAATGGATGTCTATTTGGGACGGTGACTGCGTTGAGAGCTCGGTAGTCTACGCAAAACCTTTGGCTACCGTTTTTCTTTTGGACAATTACCACTGGTGATACCCATGCATTGGAACGTGCTAAGGTAGATGGGTCATCGATGTTTAGGCGTTCGATAATACCCGCTTGGAGCATACGTTCTACTTCTTTTTCAATAAACTCTTGATTACACCAAGTGGATCGGTTTTTGACTTGTTGGTAAGGTTTTGCATCGCCAGTATCGATTTTGTGTTGGATTATAGTCGCGTGTCCCAAATCGTTAAGGTCCTTTGAAAATACTGATTCAAATTCTTTCAGCAATAGATCGATTTGTTTCTGTTGTTCGGGTGTGAGGTCTTGAACAACTGGAGCAGGTCTGTTTTCAACCTTTTGTCCTGCTAATACCTGCAGTGGTGGTTTCAACAGTCCAGGTAAGGTTATTAAGCGGGCTATTTCGCTTCCTTTTCGAATTACCGTACGTTCATCGGTAATAATGGTTATGCTGATTCGATGTTTTTGCGTTAAGGCTTGAGCTTGCATGATGAAACGGTTTTCTCCTTCTAACGGTGTAAGGAGTAATGTTCGATCTGGTAGTACTTGGATTTCGATATCTGTCCGTACCTGTCCTAACCCTTTGATTGTAATATCCTCAGATGCGATTAGAATATAGTCTTCTCCTTTTTCTTTTGGCATTGTTGCACTGTCTTTCCATCGTCGAGCTTGAATATTCTTAAACGTTTGCCATTTTGCTGGGAATCGTGCTGGTCTCTGTTCAACCGGTAAGAGCCGTTTTCGTGGTTTAATTTTCTTTTCATTTTCCCATCGAGTCAATTGGGAATCTCCCACTTTGGACAAAATGGTCATAGCTTGGAGGTCTATTATGCAGCTGTCACATATCTCGTTTACTCCTAAATAATCTCTATGCCAACATTGAGAATCGGGTCCTTTCCAATGGTAGGGTAATTGATTACTTCTCGCTTCTCGTGTAAAGCGGGCTTGCACGCGTTGAATCTCGTGCCAAGTCCATTGGTCACCATCAATGATTATTCCATGTTCATTTTCTTGGATTGGTACTGTTTTTTGGTGCTTGAAATTTTGAACATTTGAACAGTCAATATAGAATATAGATTCATCTACTTCCATCTGACCTTGTTCTATATTCTCTATTTCAGATTCAACATCCAATTGATTCGTTTCTCCCTCTGGTTCGCCAACGAATTCTCGGTACCATTGGTTAGATCTCCACTCATATCCCGGTTCTTTCTCTCTTGGCTGTTTTGGTTCTGCTTCAGGGTGATATTTTGTCCAAGATAAGCCTATATGTCCTAGGGCTTTTCCTCCAACCACAACTTCACCGTTCATTTTGAGTTCGGATCCTTTTACCCATAGGTCATAAATATTAGCTGCAAGGTCTCCTTTAGTCATTCGACATTCGTATACGGCTCTCCATCCGTCACTATGGTACTCCATTTTAAAATCAGAGTATTTTTGCTTGTTATAATCATAGTCTTCTTTTTCCCAGTATTTGTTCGCACATTTGCTGCATGGTATAGGGTCATCATCATATGCTCGTTTATTAATGCATGTTTGCTCTTTAGGTCCTTCTCTGCATTTCCATTTGCTTTTAGGGATTGGTTTCTTTGGTCTTCTCCACGGTTTTAGATCCTTGTTTTTCTTGTTATTATATTTAGTCATTAGGCATAGGTTAACTTTTCCTGATTTTTCGCGGTATAACCTGATCAATTCTCTCTCTATACCATCGCCCAGGGTCATCTGAAGATCTGGTAGAGATATTTTTGCCTTTACTTCTGTCAGGAAATTTTGGCCAAGGATTATATCAACTGATGGATGATGTATTATTTCTGCTGTGAGCTTCCATTCTTTTTTCTTAAACTTGATTGGAATATCTTTAATTCGGCCTTCACATCTTTTTCTTAGACCTGCTATCCCCATGATATTCACACTTGATTCTTCTATTTTAGGGTTTACCAATTTGTGCACGATCCTATCATAGAGTGCTTTTGATATTAGAGTAAGTGCAGAGCCAGTATCAACTAGAGCTACAGCTTCCTCTCCCTGTACTATTGCTTTGCAACATAGAGGACCTGAGTCATCAGATGCTCCGTATTGTTGCGCGGCATTAGAGGGTCTTATTGGTAGTAAGGACGCGCCTTTGCCCTTTAAGGGCGTCCTCTCCCTTTTCCCGAGTATGAGGTATTTTTCTTTGGCTTTATCCAACAATCTTTCTTCATGTGTCCAATTCTGTTACAATTATAACATCGAACTCTATTTCCAAACCAGCAATCTTTTGTTTCGTGCCCGTTCTTTTTGCAATTATCGCATTGAATATTAACATATACGCGATTAAATCGTTTTTGTTGTATCGTTTGTTCCGCATTGTTTCCAGCTGTTTCTTCCTTTAATTCTGCCATTTGCTTATTTAGTTCCGCCAATTGTTTGATCAATCCGGTTACCATTGGATTTTCTTCCTCTTGAGTGAGGTATGTAGCGTGTGTACTGCCTGTCGCTACTCTTTTTGCCGCAGCAATTGCATCGGCGATATTTTGCGGGTTTTGAGCTTTAACCAAAGGCTGAATTGTTGGTTCCAATCCTCCAATAAATTGGCTTAATTTGATAGCGTCGGGTATGTTCACCTCTGTTGCACTCCAGATTCTTTCTAACGCGTTTGCGTAACTGGTAATATTTTCATTTCGTCGTTGCCTTCGTTTCCACATTTGATTTAAAGCTTCCGCCTTTTCTTCTGGTCCTTTAAAGTGTGCCAGAAATATATCTTTCATATTTCGATCGTTATTGCCAACATTTCCTCCGGTCCAGTGAGTAAATGCTGGTTGATTAGAATACCAATCTACGTATTCACCAAGGTGTGCGGCCGCAGTGTTAATCTTAATAGGTTCGTTATTAACTTGATTTGCTGCAAATGCAATATCCATTGCCCTGGCCCATGCCTCGGGTCTAGTACCGTCAAAAACTGGGTAATTCGCGTTCCTAGCCATTATTCGTACTTGGGGTGGATTTATTGGTACTAATAGATTCTGGTCGTCTTCAGATTCAGTATCGGAATCGGCACGTTCTGATTCAGAGCTTTCTGTTGGTTGGTCTTGTTCTGCCTCGGTTACTGAGTGATCTGAAGCCTGATTCTGCTCTGTATCAGTATCGGATTTATCTAATTCTGGCTCGAAGAATTTCGCGTCTAATGTGACAGAGTCTTTGTTTACTTTATTATTATTCGATTGGTCGTCTGCCGGCGGTGTGTTTATTTGTTGATCGAATTGGGTTACAATGGATTCGGCGTTATCTGATAATTCGGCGGCGTTATTACTTAACTCGTCAGATGATTGGTTCCTAGCTACTGCTTTTCCTTTATTTTTTAATGGAGATTCTATGTCTGATTGGTCGGATGAATCTTGGGTTCGAACGAATTTCACTAAACTTTGAACTTGTCTTCGTAATATTGAACCTTGATCAAGGGCGTGTTGAAGTGCTGAAAATTGCTGAGGTACTGGGGTTACTGGAAATTGTGCTGCAAATGATTCGATTGAAGGACGTTGAAGTAGGAAATTTTCAACTTCGTCTTTATAACTGTCTTCTAATTCTTCAGTTAATTCTGATACTTCTCCGACTGTCGTGTCTTCTGAACCGACTATTGAGTTAGTGAATAACCGGAAACTTATTGGAATTTTCCAGTACGTGAGTGTTTCGAGAAGGCTTCGAAATTGATATATACTACGTGTTCTTAAATCTGCAAAAGTTAAGATCGTATTTTGGTTATAGCCGGAGATTGTAAGTCTAGGATCGTAGCCTGTCACTAATTCAACTAAGTCGTGATAGAAATTGCTGTCTGTTTCTATTAGCGGGTCGCAAATCGGGCAGCTGGTGTCTGGAAATTGGTTTAATTCT